CATTGATCTATCACATCTAACATTGCTATCACCCTTTAATGATGGTGACTAAAGTCTGATACCCAAATACCTCTCAGCTCTTCTACCTGCACTCATTTAAATGGAGATGCCCATCCGTTTGTTCTATACCCCCATCACTACTCTAATGCATCCTCAATATAGCTATTAGTAACCCTAGGAGTACCCATAGTATGTCATAGGTCCTTTCCGCACTTGGATCTCATCCCTGGTTTTATCAGAATTCAACTTGCAACACAATACCTTCCATTTTTCCGTGGTTATAACAGCATCCATATATCCTGGGACAAATGTGGGGCAAAACTGGGGTGACAAATGTGGAAACAAAAATACCCTGAGATGATTACAGGGGTGAACTCGAGTGTAGTGTATAATGTAAGTTCGGGGACAGGGTTGAACCAGGATTTAAGGTCTACTGCAGAAAGGACCATAGTGGGATTTCAGTAGGTTTTGAAAAGGGCTTTATCATACTTGCAACAATTCAAGCAGTAGTAGCCTGCTATTGCATTCACACCCTTATGTATACCCGGGCCTGTGTTTTAGTGACAAAAGGAGACATCTAGTATATCTATTGCAATTTAGTGCAATAGAAATGTTTTGCATAACGTAAATTAGAGGAAATAATTTCATCATATGAGAAATGTTCAATATATTAACATTTAAAGGATTTTCTGCAGTTCAGAGCTTTTATTGCTGTTCTATTTGTAATGGAATTGGATCTGCTCTTTCCCTTATAGGAAGTTTGAACAGGAGAGAAACCTCTCGTTTTGCATGTGTGGATTTATTTCCAGTAGATTGGTACTTAAAGTCCATGTTTTAAATCTTCTCTTTTTTATCTGTTGACCAGTTTTCCTCACTCTTGGAATCTCAAGCTAGAAAACTCTTCCGTAATTTGGCTAAGTGAAAATAAGGTATTTGATCTAAACAAGTATGAGAGGAAGGAAAACATTTGGTAATGCTATTCTAGAGACACTGGCTCAAGAGTACCTGCAGCACTGTTAACAGCTAGTTACTATCATAAGTGTTCATTTTTCTACTTGTGCTAGTTCTCATGAAAGCGGATGAACAGCCTGCATTTATTTTCACTTTTTTCGTACACTGATTTAGAACAAGTTGTAAAACAGTTCTTCTTTGGGTGGAAAACATCATCCACAGATAGACGGTTATCTTTTGATGTAAGCCACTTGAGGCAGAACATAGAGGCCAAAAGGGTATATTGGGGGTTTATGAAAAAGAAGGCAAAGCTAATAATAATAATAATGTTTCGATTTATTGATCGCTCTTTCCCACATACCTGCGGGCTCAGAATGATTTACAGTTACTCTTGAGACAATTGGACTAACAATATTTGTGGGATAGGGAAGACAAACATGCAGCATTAATTACACACACATTGCAGCTAGCCGGGCTTCATCTGCGGGCTGGGTCAGTCGTGTTCCTACGGCATCTTGTCGGCTGGCTGATGACGTCTGGCTTCTTGATGTTGTGCAGCCACACACTGCCACCGCCTGGCCGACTCGCTCCACTGCTGGGAAGCCGACACAGCTCTTTCGTCTTTCCGGTCGCTGCGCCTCAGAAGTTGCCTCGGCAGCTAACACCTTCCCGAAGGGAGTCCCCAATTTATCTACTCGCCGAAGCTTTCGAATCTCTGGGTAGACGATGAGCTAGGACGAGGCTTGGTTGCTCACACCAGCACGGGGCTAGAACTGCCAAAGCATGGCAGTTCAGATGTTATGGTTAAGCAGGGAAAAATCCCCTGCGCCACCGCTCCCTAATAAAACATCATCAGCTCCTCCACTTACTCACAGAGATCCCACACATTCTGAAAAGTTGTTTGTCCCATTCTTCTCAGGCTCAGTAAATTCAGTGATGGGCTGTGGCTCAGTGGCGGAGCATGTGCTTTGCATGTAAAAGGTCCCAGGCTCAATTGCCAGCAACTCCAGTTGAAAGGGCAGGTCTTTGATGATGGGAAAGACCTCCACTTGCAAGTCTGGAGAACTGCTACCGTTCAGAGTAGAGAAGAGCAACCTTGAGAAAACAGTGGTCTGATGCAGTAGAAGGCAGATTTATGTGTTTCTGTGTTCAATCAAAATGCTAAAACTGGACTGAGATCTAGTAAGAAGGAGCTTGTGGGTTGCATAATAATTGCTAAGGCATCCTTTGGGGTTCCAGGTACATACAGCTAGAAGCATAGGGTTTTTTTAATAATAATAATAATAATAATGGAGTAGTAAATGGAAGAGTAGGAGCTGCGGTGGCTCAAGTGGTTAAGACGCTGAACTGCAGGCTGTGGATGGTCAGTAGTTCAGCAGTTCAAGACCCGGGTGCTGCAAGACGGAGTGAGCCCCCGTCTCTAGTTCCAGCTCCTGCCAACCTAGCAGTTCGAAAGCAAGAAATTGCAAGGAGATAAATAGGTACCACTTCAGTGGGAAGGTAACAGTGTTCTGTGCACCTTGGTGTTTAGTCATGCCGGCCACATGACCACGGAAAGGTCTTCGGACAGCGCTGGCTCTTCGGCTTTGAAATGGAGATGAGCACCGCAACCCTAGAGTCGGATTCGACTGGCTTTCGAGCAAGGGAACCTTTACCTTTACTTACATGGAAGAGTAAGAAACCAAGAGTAAAATGGTCAGTTACTCAGTTGAAATCAGCCTGTGGTGGTTTTGGTGTACTCATGATCAAACTTCACCACAATGCCACAAGGCTAAAATGGTTCATGAGTTGGCTCTCAAATGTTGAGGAGAGTGATGAGATAACCACTGAACAGGTCTGTGTCCACATGCCTTTGTAAACACTTCTTTATATAAAGAAATCAGAGAGGACAACGATATACACTCATGATAACTTCATAATAAATAATTTCTTATCAGTTTGGGACCAGTATGAAAGAAATATCCCCAGATATATCACCTCTTCCTTCAGCAGTGAAACATTTTTTTGGGGTTATCAATTAAGCTCCCTTTTCAAATGGGAAAGCATTGGACTTGATAATTATAAGCTGCTAATAGCAGGTAATAAGTTGATCCCCTTTGTTGTGGTTTCTCAAATCAGTAACGGACATATAATTCTGTCTGAATATCTGCAACTTTTGAATCTTCCCCCCCCCAGCAAAGTACTGAGAAGGTCTTAGGAGGCTTTCAGATTTTGAAACACTATCTCAGTCTAGGGCAGCACACACCCCCCCAAAAAATATATATTATTCTGTTTAGTTAATTATAGATTAAAAACTAACTGGAATAATGATACTAGTTCTGTGATACTCGAGATCTAGAATTTTTTTTCAACTCATGGATCTGCTTTTACTATCTCTTTGGTGCTTAAAGAAAACCTACTTAAAATAGTTCATCCATTTTATTTTACACTAAAAAATTAGCTTTGATGTATAAAGAGCTGCACTGGCCCTTGTGGATTTTGTAGTCTTCCAGTGGTCAGTTTTGTCCACATGTGGTGGCGATGTCCTGATGCTACTGAGGTTTGGACTAAGATTCATGAAGAATTAGAGATTGGATGTGAACCTGAGATCCTTCTAAGGCTAGAAATATTTTTGTTGAACCATGTGACAGGATTTCCAAGCAGGATCCAGGTAAATTTCCTCTATTTAATTTTGGTGACAAGGGTTGTTTTTGCTAGACATTGAAAGCAGAATTTAGTCCCAAATATATAGGACTGGATGGTAAAAGTCAAAGAGATCTATGTTAATGTCAGGCTTACTTATTCATGGAAGAAAGAGGTGCTTAACTGAGTGATGCTTATCAGGTTCTGTAATTAATGGTGACATTGTAATCTTTATAGCTGTGTTATGGTGTGAACCATATGGTGTAATTATATTTTGTTTTATAATAAACTAGAAATAATGCCCGTTGCGGAAATAAATACAACGGGATCTAGAAAGAGGCTCTGGGAGAGTGCTCTGGCTTTGGGCAAACAGTGTCAGTTTCCTGTGGCGACCTCAGCAGGGTTTAATGACAGAGTCCACTGTTTTCTCCAGAGGGACTGATCTCTGCTACCTGAAGAGCATTTGTATGTTTGAGTTATCTGTAGCCCTCACCTGGAGAGTGGTAACCATTGTTACCCATTCTCCTCTCTCCTATGAGGTATGTTATGCAACCGAAAATCCCAACTGCCTTGCGGGGGCGGGGGAGTTTGAGGTGTGGAATGGACTGAAGTCCAATCAGCTTCCATATGCAAAAGACCAGGTTGTCGCAGCAGTTGTGGTGTGGGCGGGACCCGGGCTTTGCCTTCTGATTGGTGGCGATATATGCTGAGGAGCAGTGCCATCAGCCATACACTAAGGGAGTGCATTTTAGAATTAGAATTTTGGCACCCACTATTCAATTATATATAAGGAGAGATAAATGTAGCAAAATAGTATATGGAATCTAAGAGGGCATAAATAGAAATGATGTCTTTATATATTTCATTATTCATTTCTTATTAATAGTAACATGCCTCAAAATATTTCCTGCTGGTATTAATTAACTGTTGAGCTCCTGTTGAAAAAAGGTAGGTGGTGGAAAAGCAGAGTAGTTTGTGCTGTTTGACTAGGGCTCTTTTGAATGGCGTTCCTACTGTTGTAGCAAAATAAACACATACAAAAATGTAGATATATACTATCCACAAAGCCAGAAAACTTTTCTTCTTCCCCACCTGAAAACAGATTGTTCTTCTCTACATATAAGCTTCAGGAAGAGACAAAAGCAATTCTTGCAGTTCCCTGCCTGAGACGCAGAGTGTCGCTGTTGGCCAAGGTAGCTCTCATGTAGGAGCTAGGAATCCACTGAACGATGCTTCCAGCTGTGTGGCTGCTCATTCTCCGAATGCAGATCAGGAAAACAGCAGACAACAGAGACGTGGAAGCCTTGGGGAAAGGAAACCATTACAACATATATAAATTCAGCAGAATCCAGTGTCATTGTGTATGCTTCCTTACTGTGGATCTTGTATTGTGATGGGAATTTTAAAAGATCTCAGCTGACCAAGATATGCCAGTAGAAGAAAAAGCAAGCTCCTCAGCCAGAAGGATGAACTGCAGACACCAAGAGAAGAGTGGATCAGTAAGGTTATTGTTCCTCTTGTTATTGTCTTTGTTCTGCAAGACGGCCTCAGAGCAGATTCAGTATTCAGTCCCTGAGGAAATGGAGAAAGGGTCCGTTGTTGGGAATCTAGCCAAAGATCTAGGACTGAGCCCTGGAGAAATAGCAAATCGCAATCTGCATGTCCTTTCTCTAGATAAAAAGCAGTATTTCACTGTCAGTGCAGAAAATGGAAAACTGTATGTAAATGATAGGATAGATAGAGAAGGAATATGTGGGGAAACTATTTTCTGCCCTATAAATTTTGAAGTCATGGCTGAAAACCCCATGAATATTTTCCATGTAACTGTAGCAATCCAGGACATTAATGACAACACACCACATTTCTTAAATGAGGATATCAGGCTAGAACCAAGTGAATTAACTTTACCAGGAGCCCGATTCGTTCTTGGGAATGCTGAAGATCCAGATGTTGGAATGAATTCTCTCCAGAACTACCAACTCTCATCCAATCAATATTTCACACTGGAAACTAGAGAGAGTGAAGATGGGAATAAATATGCAGAATTAGTACTCAGTAAACAGCTGGATCGGGAAAGTGAAAGCAGTTTCCATTTAACCCTTCTGGCTCTAGATGGAGGAAGGCCTGTCAAAACTGGCACAGCCAAAATATGGGTTAATGTCATTGATGCCAATGACAACCCCCCTGTTTTTGCACAAGAATTGTACAAGGTCAGCCTGAAGGAAAATGCCCCCAAAGGATCTTCAGTGGTACAGGTGAAAGCCACTGACAGAGATGAAGGGTCCAATGGCCAGATCATCTATATCTTTAGCAATATTGCTGAAAGTGTTCGCAGAATGTTTTTGCTAGATCCCAAAAATGGGGCAATAATGGTTATGGAAAACCTGGACTTTGAGTGGAAAGATAAATACACTGTGACGGTGGAAGCCAAGGATGGAGGTGGGTTAGTAGCTCACTGCAATGTTGAAATAAAGTTAATAGACGTGAATGACAATGCCCCGGACATTGTTCTTCTCTCATCCTCCAGTCCAATACCCGAAGATTCTGCATCTGGGACTCTGGTTGCTCTTATCAATGTAAAAGACAGAGATTCTGGAGAGAATGGAAACATAGTTTGTCAGGTACTAAGCAATTTGCCATTCCAAATTGTCTCAACATCCAATAACTACTATAAGGTGGTTACAGATGGTGCTTTGGACAGGGAAAATACTCCTGAGTACAATATCACAATCACAGCCACAGACAATGGCAGTCCTCCTCTTTCTACACTCAAGACCATTTCTGTGCAGATCTCCGACATCAATGATAATCCTCCAGCCTTTGAGAAGCCTTCCTATACTGCCTACGTGCCAGAAAACAACCCCTCTGGAGCCTCCATTTTCAGGGTCAAAGCCTCAGACCCAGATCTGGATCGCAATGCACGAATCCTTTACTCCATCCAAAAGAGCAACATTGAGGACCTGCCTCTCTCCTCTTATGTCTCCATTAACTCTGAGACGGGGATTGTTTATGCACAGCGTTCCTTTGACTACGAACAATTCAGGGAGTTCCAACTTCAAGTGAAGGCCCAAGATGGAGGTTCTCCTCCCCTCAGCAGCAATGTCACAGTGGAAGTGTTTATTGTGGACCAGAATGACAACAGCCCTCAGATTCTCTATCCTTCCAAAGGAGTGGAAGCTTCAGTCTTGTTTGAGATGGTTCCTCTTTCCGCTGATGCAGATTATCTGGTGACCAAGGTGGTAGCAGTGGATGCTGACTCTGGACACAATGCCTGGCTCTCCTACCACCTGCTTCAGGCCACTGAGCCAGGGCTCTTCACAATTGGACACCATACTGGTGAGATCAGGACATCCCGAACTTTTTTGGAAAGGGATGCTGTGAAGCAGAGGGTGGTCATCTTAGTGAAGGATAATGGACACCCATCGTTATCTGCTACAGTGACTCTGAACCTGGTGTTTGCAGAGAACTTCCAAGAGGCCCTTCCAGAAATGAAGACCCAGTCCATCAGTCCTGACTATCAGTCTGATCTGCAGTTCTATCTGGTGCTGGCCCTGGCTTTGATCTCCTTCTTGTTCCTCTTGACGGTGATCTTGGCCATTCTGATGAAGCTTCGACGATCAGGAAATCCCAAATTCCTACAGTGCTTTGCTCCTGTTCCTCATTCAAGTGCTGGTGCCATCTTCCCACCAAACTTTGAAGATGGGACTTTGCCTTATTCCTACCAGTTGTGCCTGTCCTCAGAATCCAGGAAGAATGAGTTAACTTTCCTGACACCCAATATCCAGATTGTAGATAACAGTCTTTGTGGTGACAAATCTGGTGAGCCTTTGACTGGCAATGAAGGAAACAATTTAGAGACTGAGGTGGCTATTATGAACATGGTGAGTTTTTATTCTAGAAAGTGTTTGCATGCTGTTTAGTGATGCTTTTAATTTGTGACTGAAAAAGAATAATCAGACCACAATTATACTGCTCTTCCTTTTTATATAGAATGTATTATCTGGCATGATATGAAATGAACAAAAATATATGTTTTTTTAAGAAAAATGAACTAAGGAATATCCAAGTTACTAGAATGATGGTGGTGTCCTTGTGGCTACCACAAAGATGCTGCCACATCTTGTTTGACCCTAACTGGGATGTTGTGTTTTTTGTTGTTGTCCAGTCGCACAGTCGAGTCCAACTCTTTGCAACCCCATGGCCCACATCACGCCGGGCCCTCCTGTCCTCCGCCAACCTCAGGAGCTTGCTCGCCTTTTGTAATTTTGCTTCGATTTAGCAATAGTTGTCAAGAGTGTTCTTTACAGACTTTTTAAAAAAGTTTTATCCTGTTCTAATATCTTCTGAGGTAGTCTGCAAACTTATTTAGTACGATTTTATAATAATGACTTACAGAGTGCAGAATTTATCTAAATGCTCCATGGCAGAGGTGATTTTCTTTCAAATGGTAGAGGATTCCAGAGCATTTAAAATCTAGTCAGAAAATGATGGCTGCTAATAGAAACACCATGATGGCACTTGCTGAGAGACATTCACAGTATCTGCTGGAAGGCTACTCCAATGTAACTAGGGCTTTTCAACATTTTCCTCACTTGTGTGTTCCTGTTAGTTTGGGTGGTATTTTTTCTGTTCCACACATGTTTTATTTATTTATTTATTTATTTATTTTTGAGATTTCTATGCCACCCTACCCAATGGCTCAGGGCGGCTAACAACAAGTTTTGCTCCCTCTAGTGGTTGATCAGATATTACATCACTTTTTGTCTGGCATAAAAATCCGCAGTTCAAATCTGCAGGGAGATATACTGAACATAAAGCAATGTAAGATTAAATCGACCACTAGAGGGAACAAAACACATGTGTGGGGGGAAGTGAGGAAAATGAGAATGCTGAAAAGCCCTAGGTTGCAGCTTAGTCTTTCTCAGTTTGTGCACAGAAGAATGCTTCTCCGCTTATAGCATACTGTTGTTTAAAATGAATACAGATTTAGAGAATGTGATCAGCTACCAGTATAGCTGAGCCTGAATAAAAGCCAATTTTTCAGCTTTTATTCGGGTATATTCAGCTATACTGAGGATCAGTTGAGGCTGCAGGAGCTGGGGAGGCAGCCCCAGCGAAGACAGGATGGAGCTCTCAGCTCCCGGCCTCCCCCAGCTGATCGTCTCTTGCAGCTCAATTTAAACCAAGCTGCAAGAGGAGCCAGGATCAACTGGGGCGGCAAGAGCCGCCACACGCAGATCCTGGGTCTGCATGCGGTGAGGAGAGACCTCCCCTCCACAGGCAGATCCTGCGGCCAGCTTCTCCTGCAACTCAATTTAAACTGCACTGCAGGAGAAGCCAAGCCAGCCCCAGGGTCCGTCTGGTTTGTTTTTTAAACTCGCATTTTCCAGTTTGGGTCTATTGGACCTGGAAAAAATGAGATTTTTCAAAAATACCAAAAAAAAAAAATTGGTTCCAATAGACCTGAACTGGAAAATGTTGGGTTGTTTTTTCTTTTCTTTTGCACAGCTCTATTGGGGTCCCCCATCATGCAGCCAGAGGATACCCACATCGAGCCCAATGCACATAATCAGTTGGTTGAGTCTCTTGCTACAGTCCTGATGCCAAGCTGAATGCATGTTCTTTGTGAGTGTGGGGAGGTGAAATGGGGCCTAATATTCATATTTTGCTCAATAATAGAAAACACAATGCATCATAGTTATGGTGCTTGATCTTAGATGTCACATATTTTAACTTCACTTCATGCTCTGACTTGGGGAATGTGTCATGGACAGAAGATATTATAGGGAAATCAATCATTTGCTTGCACTGTGTTGTGCCAGTGTTGTGTAGGGGCTACATGTCAAACTGGAATCAAGGAGAGCCGGGTTTCCATGGAAACTTGTCGGGTGACCTTGGGCCAGTTGTACCCTCTCAGCTAACCTACCTCACATAGTTGTTGCGAGGATAAAATGGAGGAGAAGAAAATTATGTAAACCTCTTTAGGTCCCCGTTGTGGAGAAAGGTGGGGTATAAATGAAATATATAAAATAAACTTGCAATCAGGTATCATTTTAAAATATATTATTAAGGGACATAGTCCCAGGGAGGGTAAAAGCAGGATATAAATGTTTTAACTATGAATAATTGTTTTTAAATGGTGGATTCCTATGCATCCCTCCCAGTTCCCTCTCCCTTCATAACACAAGTTTCACTTTCCCACCCCTCAGCCCCGTAGAAGGTAACCAACGTTTGTAATATTGATACTTGTGCTAAAGCTGCAGAATTCGCATATCTTTGGATAAGGGCTGGAGTATTTAAAAGCCAGATGGAAAATGCTTAATGCCTTTAGAAATGTCAGGAATAATTTACCATGATGCGCCGAGTCTTTTGCAGTGGCTACTGTAGATCTGCTTTTGAGTTATTAGTCTGGGGGTGATAGCCTGTTCAGCACATAAGCTTATTCTACGCAGAGAACAATCATTTTTCTCGACAGAGGAATGTGCTGCAGTCATAAACCAGGATGGGTACAAAATATCCCATAAAAGAGTGAGAATCTGGCAATGTGAGTTTTGACCAATCGTTGGCTGAAATTATTACCTGAGACTCTAGGTGTCACTGTTCAACCAAGACTGAGCAGTGACAAATTCAGCCTTCCCAAACTATTTCTTTCATAGCAGAAAACCCTGAGAGGATGATCACACCTGCGCTGAAGGATTTTATTTTAAATTTAGAGTATTGTTAAAGTATAGACAGTGTTAAGTACAAAGGCTGTCTGGAAGTTAAAACAACCGTTTCTGACACATCCAGATCAAGCTAACATAAGTCTGTTGTTCGTCACCTCATCAAAGGATTAGATACACCTTCATAAGACTAAAGCAGACAGGACTGGCAATGACAACATTTCACTGGGACTGCAAAATGGGAGCTGTCTTTTGCTTAATTTTTGTAAACATTTGGCAAGTTGTTACTGGGCAGATTCACTACTCCATGCCTGAAGAAACAGAAAAAGGTTATTTGGTGGGGAACATCGCGAAAGACCTGAAGCTGGAAATAAAGGAGCTCTCACACCGTGGAGTCCACATTTTCTCCTCAGGTAGGACCCAGCATTTTGCTTTAAATTACAAGAGTGGCCATATGTATTCCACAGAGAGGATAGACAGAGAGGAGATCTGTGGACGGGTGGAAAAGTGTCTCCTGGATTTTGAGATTATAGTTGGGGATTCAATGAAAGTTTATGGAGTCAGAGTGGAAATTACAGATATTAATGATAATGCTCCCAGATTTCATTCAGAGAAAATGAAGCTCAAAATCAGCGAGTCAACTCCAACAGGATCCCTATTTCCACTGTATGAAGCTCAGGATCCTGATTTAGGGAATAATTCTCTTCAAGGTTACAAGCTCAGTAGCAATACCCATTTTTCCCTCAACATGGAAACAACAGTGGATGGCAGGCAATATGCTGAATTACTGCTGGAAAAGCCCCTCGACCGTGAAAAAGAAACTGATCATAATCTGGTACTCACAGCGTATGACGGGGGAATTCCTCTCAGGACTGGGACTTTGCAGGTTCATGTGATTGTTCTGGATGCTAATGACAACCCACCTGTTTTTAACCAACGTATCTATGAAGTCTGTGTTGAAGAAGATATTTCTATAGGAAGCACAGTGGTTACATTAAAAGCCACTGACCTGGATGAAGGGATAAACAAAGAACTGAAGTATTCATTAATGAAAATCACAGCAAAAGCTTCGCAAATATTTCACCTAGACTCTAACACAGGGGAAATAATTCTTGCAGGAAATTTAGACTATGAAGACTCTACACAATATGAAATGGAAGCCCAGGTCCATGACGGTGGAGAGTTGTTTGACAAGTCAAAAGTTGTGATATTTGTTACTGATGTGAATGATAATGCACCAGAAGTGATAATAACCTCTGTCATCAACTCAGTCCCTGAGAATTCTCCACCAGGGACTGCAATAGCGCTCTTAAATGTGCGAGATCAGGATTCATCCAACAATGCAGAAGTTGTATGTTCAGTTCCCAATAACCTCCCTTTCCAACTGACAACATCCTATGGTAGTTACTATAGTTTGGTAACCAACAGAGCCCTGGACCGGGAACAAGTGACAACTTACAACATCACAATCACAGCCACAGACCATGGGACACCCTCACTTTCTACTTCCATTATCATTCCACTCCTAATTTTAGACATAAATGACAACCCTCCCCTCTTCCCCCAATCCTCCTACATTTCCTACCTCATCGAGAATAATCAAAGAGGTGCTTCTGTCTTCTCACTCAAGGCAAATGATCCAGACTGGGAAGAGAACGCCAGAATAATGTATTCCATTATAAAAAGTCAGATGGCTGATTTTCCCCTTTCTTCCTTACTTTCCATTAATTCTGAAACTGGGATTATTTATGCCTTGACCGCCTTTGATTATGAACAGTTCAGAGAAATTAACTTCCTAGTCAAGGCCCAAGATGGAGGATCCCCATCACTCAGCTCCAATGTTTCAGTGACTCTTTTCATTCTGGATCAGAATGATAACACCCCAGAAATCCTGTACCCTTCTGTCCCTACTGATGGCTCCACTGGAGTTGAGCTGGCTCCTCACTCTTCTGAGCCTGGCTACCTGGTCACTAAGGTGGTGGCAGTGGATGCAGACTCTGGCCAGAATGCCTGGCTCTCCTATCAGCTACTCAAGGCCACAGAGCCAGGGCTCTTCTCCATAGGACTCCACACTGGAGAGATCAGGACGACCCGCTTCTTTCTGGACAAGGACGCTCTCAGGCAAAGCCTGGTGGTTTTAGTGAAGGACAATGGGCAGCCCCCTCTGTCTGCCTCAGTCACGGTCACTGTGGTGTTGGCCGACAGCATCCCTGAAAGCCTCTCTGATATTAGCAGCATCTCAGCTCCTGCAGACCCCCAGTCGGACCTCCCTTTTTATCTGGTGGTTGCTGTGGCTTTTGTCTCCTGCTTGTTTTTCATCTTCCTCCTTGTGTTGTTGGCACTCAGACTTCGCAGGTGGAGGAATTCTCAGTTGTATGATTCTGGGAGTGGGAATTTCAGTGGCGTCCCAGTTTCACAGTTCGTAGGAATCAGTGGAGTCCAAGCTTTTCTTCACTCCTACTGCCACGACTTCTCTCTCACCACAGACTCTCAGAAGAGCAATTTTGCCTTTCCAAAGGGTACATCCTCTGATATTCTGCCAAGTCAGCAGCCTTGTGAAATAAGGGATCCTTTCCTCAGTGCTGAAGACACAAAACGTTTTAATGGGGATTCAGACAACATCCAGGTGAGCTGTCTTTGTCTTTGGTGCAAAATAGAAATCATGTTGTAGTTTTCCAGTTGGAAGGAACAGATTTTATTTGTTTATTAAAATATTTCCTATTCCTTTATCCTGCGCTTAAAATGGTTTTCGATAAATCCGTTAAATCATAACAACGTATCACTGAAAACTCTTCCAGCCAAAAGTCTGTATGAAAAGCCAGGGGTCATTTCCTGCAGGAGCGCACAGGAGCAGAGCTCCGGCAGTAAAGAGCCCAGGGGGTAGGCACATGCAACAAGCCCCACCCCCTGCTCCCAGCATCCCTGAGTCTGAGCAAGAAGCAGCCAGGTAAATTGCAGAGCCGCCCCCAGCCCTCCAGTCCAAAACAGTCCAGTGGCACCTTTAAGACCAAGTTTTATTCAGGTACAAGCTCTTCCTCCTCTGTGAGGACAGATCTGCACTTCCCCCCCCCAATAGCTAGCAATCCAAAACAGTCCAGTGGAGCCTGAGTGGTGGGTGTTGCCTTCTGACACACTTCCGGTGATGTCAGGGGGTGTGGTATATGCAAATGAGTTATGCTAATGAGCTCCTGCACCTCTTTTTCTACAAAATGACCCCTGTGAAAAGCTTAGAAATTACATTGGTTACCTTATTTCCTTTGGTAAATTATTCCTGAAAGCTCTACATCTTGCTGTGTTTAGTCATTTGAGGGAATGGTGCACATCCAGCCTGTGCTGAAGGCATTGCACTGGCTGCCAATAGCATACCGGATTCTACCAAAGGTAAATTGCAGGCATCTACAGTCGCAGGCAGTTCAGATTGAGGCTGTGGGGGAAGGAGGTTCACCTTTTTAGTCCCCTCTTGGGAACACGGGGCTGTAGAAGGAAGGTCGTCACTGAAAGGTCAATATGCATGCATGGGTTCAAGCCTTATATTCTAGTAAAGCTTTTGATATGGTACAACATCAGGAACTGTGATTCAACTAGAATAAAGTGTCAGTACATCAGCCATACCACTTGACTTAAGTGAATGGGGAAAGTCATACACCTGCAAGCAGACATGTGTAGGTAAGCAAGGAGATACTGGATCAAGCTAAAATGTTTAAGGAAGACAAATCAGAAACTGCAAATCGAAGGTTAGCAAATGTGTATTGGAAATTAAAAATAGGGTTCTTAACTATGAGAGGTACAGCATATTGTAATTGTCTCTCTTGCAAGATGGGATGGGCAGGGCTATTTTTGGGGAGGAACGCACAGGAACGGAGTTCCAGCTGGCTCCCAAGTAGGCCACACCCAGCAGGAACTCATTAGCATAATAGGCCACACCCAACAGCAGAAACTCATTAGGATTGGCTACATTAGGGGTGTGTGGCCTAACATGCAAAGGAGTTCCTGCTACAAAAAAAGCCCTGGGTTTTGACAACAAACAAGGTAAACAGAATAACAAGCAAAAGGTGGGTGTGGCTGGATAGCTACACTTCTGGTAACATGTGGGTGCGGTCTAATGAGCTGTGCTGTCAGGGGTGTGGCCCGATATGCTAATGAGTTCCTGCTGTTGGGTGTGGCCTATTATGCTAATGAGTTCCTGCTGGGCTTTTTCTACACAAAGAGCACTGGGGATGGGTGTAGACCACTTTCACAATGATCCGTTTCTGAACATTCTGCTATTTCTGTTCTGGTGTGTTGCTTGTTATCTGTTCTTCAGAGGACTTTTACTGTTGTAATTCACTGGCGTGTGATTCTGGTTGAAGGAGGGGCTTACTCTTAATTAAAAAGCAAATGATTGCATTATTTCAAATCTGGGAAGAAGATAAAATCCTTGGAGAAATTAGTTGGGGACATTGGGCTATCTCCTTTCTACAGCAGCATCTGTCATTTCTCTTGTGTGAGTCTTCTGGAGCTGTTTGATCTTCAAACAAATCTGCTCACGGATTATGCCAGCCTGATGTGGGGACTAGTGATGTGCCTTGTGGTAAAGCATAGGTTGGTCAAATTCTGTTCACCTCTCCTTTAAACAATTTTTTTTATTATTTTAATTTTTATCGTCTGTCATCTTGGCCTATTTTCAACCATTGTTTGATTTTTATGGCCTGCCTATATGTTCCTAAGATTCCTGTATGCTGTTGAAATGGTTTTATAGTCTTATTACCTGCTGGTTTTATAACAGAGTTTGAGTCCGTCTATGTATGGACTGGTAAGTTCCATTTCACTGTATCTGAGGAAGTGTGTGTGCACACAAAAGCTCATACCTTGAATAAAACTTTGTTGGCCTTAAAGGTGCCACTGGACTCAAACTTTGTTCTATAGCTTCAGACCAACACAGCTGCACACCTGGATCTATCTGCTGGTTTTATATTAGGGATGCCAGCCTCCAGGTGGAGTCTGCGGATCTCCTGGCACTACAGCTCATTTCCAGACTATGGAGTTCCCCTGGAGAAAAGGGATGCTTTGGAAGGTGGACTCTCTGACATTGTACCCCACTCAGGTCCCTGTCCTCCCCAGGCTCCTCCCCCAAACCTCCAGGAGTTTCCCAAACTGGAGCTGGCAACCCTACCCCACCCCATCACCTGGTGGTGGCCGGGGGGACGTGGCAACTTTGTTCACTAAAGTAGTTTTATTGGTGAGGCAAACAGACAAGTAGTAGGGTGTAAGCGATTGACAGAGTATGGACTGAATCCAAGAAAAGTGTAATGCAGAAAGATCTTTAAAAAAAAATTCCAGCGACATTAGCCAAGGTAAATATCAAACATTCATAATGTTTCCTCCTGGTCATTAGGGGTTTGAATTTTTTTTTTAAACTGCTTTACACCATTTGCTTCTAGCCTGAGTAGTGTTCTGAGAACCATTTAGGCTGTAAAATGTATTATACTCTGGGTTTTTATGAGATTTATGCTCTGGGTTTTTGTTGACTGGGTTTTTAATGGCTTGCTAACTTTAATTATTTTATATTTTAATGATTTTACCTTGCTCTGTGAGCCACCTCAAAGAGGCCTCTGATAGAAGTAGCATACAAATGTTCAAAATAAATAGTACATAAATATCGCCAAGGGGCTGGAACAGAATTTAAAAGGATGTGAAACCCATATTGCTTTAGGGCTTGGCATTTGCTTTGAGTGATAATATAGGGATCGTTTTGTGCATTGCAGAGAGATGATGGGGGGGGGATGATGCAGGTGAGCTTTTCACTAGGGAAGCCCGGGGGGACGTGGCAACTTTGTTCACTAAAGTAGTTTTATTGGTGAGGCAAACAGACAAGTAGTAGGGTGTAAGCGATTGACAGAGTATGGACTGAATCCAAGAACAGTGTAATACAGAAAGATCTTTTAAAAAACAATTCCAGCAACATTAGCCAAGGTAAATATCAAACATTCATAATGTTTCCTCCTGGTCATTAGGGGTTTGAATTTTTTTTTTAAACTGCTTTACACCATTTGCTTCTAGCCTGAGTAGTGTTCTGTGAACCATTTAGGCTGTGAAATGCATCATGCTCTGGGTTTTTATGAGATTTATGCTCTGGGTTTTTGTTGACTGGGTTTTTAATGGCTTGCTAACTTTAATTATTTTATATTTTGATGATTTTGTCTTGCTCTGTGAGCCGCCTCAAACAGGCCTCTGAAGAGGTAGCATACAAATGTTCAAAATAAATAGTACATAAATATCGCCAAGGGGCTGGAACAGAATTTAAAAGGATGTGAAACCCATATTGCTTTAGGGCTTGGCATTTGCTTTGAGTGATAATATAGGGATCGTTTTGTGCATTGCAGAGAGATGATGGGGGGGATGATGCAGGTGAGCTTTTCACTAGGGAAGCTGTGTAGATATTTGGAGCCATGGCGGAAATGGTAGCATCCCAGAACAATGTCTGTTATTCATTCTCAGAAATGAAACCGTAAAAGCAATCTCCATAATCAGGGACTTTAAAATCAACTTCAGAAACTGACTCCAGAGATAGTCAAGACAATCTATGCACCATTTCAAAGCACTACAGGAACAGTCATATATTAAAAGACACAGATATGGACGAAGCAAAATAAATGAATTAGCAGTTGCAGGAAAACAAAGGGAAAGTCTTCTCAGGTGCTGCACTTGGGACCAAGAACAGAGGATTTAGTTTCGGGGGATATCTATTGAGGTAATGGCTCAGTTTTATATTGGAAATGGTTTTCCTTGCAATTCTTCCCTGAGCCTCCAAGTGCCGCTATAGGCCAATTTGAGAGCTGGATGCAGGATAGAAAATGAATGATGCTTCCCGCACTGTGAGAGCAGATCACGGGAACTGCAGAGCACAAAGAAAAAACATTCAACAACGGAGAACAAATGAGACCAATGAAGAAAGGTAGTTAATTTTTCCTTACTGAAAGTCGCTTCATCTTCAGCAGAATTTAATCTGATCACCAGAAGCTGAAAAAGGAACCAGCCTGTTTTCAGTGGCCGGATGGAAAGAAGGCAGAGAGAGAATGTCCCGGCATTCAGAAGGCAAGTACTGCTTCTCTCATTATTGTCTTTCTCTGGCTGGGCTGCTTCGGAGCAGATTCAGTATTCCATACCCGAAGAGATGCCAAAGGGTTCTATTGTAGGGAATCTTGCCAAGGATTTGGGTCTGAATGCCAAAGAACTAGCAAAGCACAACCTTCATTCTGTCTCTGTGGCTAAAATGAAGTATTTCGGTATCAGTCCAGAGAATGGAAATCTCTATGTAAATGACAGGATAGACCGAGAGGAAATATGTGGAAAGAATCAACTTTGCTTTGTTAATTTTGAGGCTGTGATTGAAAACCCTTTGAATATTTTCCATATGACTGTAACAATCCAAGATGTTAATGACAATACACCACAGTTCCAAAATGAAAATATCAAGCTAGAAATAATTGAATCCACTATGACAGGCACCAGATTTCTTCTTGGAAAAGCTGAAGATCCAGACATTGGGGTAAATTCTCTCCAAAATTACCAGCTTAGCCCCAACCAGTATTTCACGTTGGAAGTTAGAGAGAGTCAAGATAGAAACAAATATGCAGAACTAGTGCTAAGCAAACCATTAGATCGTGAAAAGGAACAGACCCTCCACATCACACTTACAGCCCTGGATGGGGGTGAACCTAGAAGAACGGGAACTGCCCAGATATGGGTTAATGTCACTGATGCCAATGACAACCCACCCATCTTCACTCAAGAGGTCTACAAGGTTAGTTTGAGGGAAAATATTGCAGTGGGGACTTCTGTGCTCCAGGTTGTAGCTTCTGATAATGATGAGGGTTCTTATGCCGAGATCAAATATCATTTCAGCAATATACCATTGAATGCCCATCAGAAATTCAATTTGAATCCCAACAATGGCATGATCGCTGTAACAGAGCCATTGGATTTTGAACAAACTGAAGAATATACTATGACAGTGGCAGCAAAAGATGGGGGAGGATTAGAGACACATTGCAACATTGAAATAAGGATTATTGATGAGAATGACAACTCCCCAGAGGTGACTCTGGTTTCCTTATTTAGCCCCATTCTTGAGAATTCTGTACCTGGAACCTTAATAGCTCTGATCAATGTAAATGACAAAGACACTGGCGATAATGGAAAGGTTACTTGCAGTTTACAAAATCATATGCCATTCAAGATTCTGGCATCTTCTAATAATTATTACAAGCTTCAGACTGACAGCCCCTTAGACCGAGAAAAACATTCTGAGTATAATATTACAATTACAGCCACTGACAAAGGGAATCCCCCTATGTCAACACACAAAACCGTCTCAGTACAGATCTCTGATATCAATGACAATTCCCCTGCTTTTGAGAAATCTTCCTACATCATCTATGTGCCAGAAAACAATCCTTCTGGTGCTTCCATTTTCACTATCAAAGCCTTGGACCCAGATGTGGACCAAAACTCACAAATCACATATTCCATCCTCCACAGTAACATTGAGAAGCTCCCCATTTCTTCGTATATCTCCATTAACTCTGAGACGGGAACTCTCTATGCCCAGAGGTCCTTTGACTACGAACAGTTCAGAGAGTTCCAGTTGCAAGTGAAGGCCCAAGATGGTGGTTCTCCCCCTCTCAGCAGCAATGTCACAGTGAGGGTGTTCATCATGGATCGGAATGACAACAGTCCACGGATCCTGTCCCCTTCACAAGAAGCCAAGGGCTCAGCCTTGTTTGAGATGGTACCTCGTTCTGCTGAGGCAGGATATCTGGTCACAAAGGTGGTGGCCGTGGATGCTGATTCTGGACACAACAATGAAAAATCAATCCAGCAGCCCTGACTATCAGTCTGACCTGCAGTTCTACCTAGTGCTGGCCTTGGCTTTGATGTCATTCTTGTTCCTCTTGTCAGTGATCCTGGCCATTCTGATGAAGCTTCGAAGATCAGGGAATCCCAAATTCCTGCAGTGCTTTGCTCCTGTTCCCCATTCAAAGGCTGGAGCCATCTTCCCACCCAACTTTGAAGATGGGACTTTGCCTTATTCCTACCAGCTGTGCCTGTCCTCAGAATCCAGGAAGAATGAGTTCACTTTTCTTACCCCCAATGTTCAGATTGCGGGCAATGTTCTTGGTAATGGCCACTTGGGTGTGCCTTTGACAGGCAACGAAGATAACAATTTAAATTCAGAGGTGGAGAATACTGAAAAGGTAAGAATTGCCTTGTGCAATTATTTGCATTGTGCACACCAGCATTTTTTGTCATTTCTTGCATTGTAATGTTTGTTTTTGTGAATTACGATAGGGGTCTTTTGGGAGGGAGATTAGTATCTTCTTTCTGCATTTTTTTCTGACTACCCTTCCAGAGATAACTACTGGGTAAATAAAATTATATTTTAAAAAAAAAACCTCTACTGCTACCCCCTTGCATCTCCCCCGCTAGTGAAAAGTTTCATAGGTGACGTATGGGATAAGAAACTACTGGACACCTGTGTATCTTTGTCATATCTCTTTATTTACATTTTTACAAACAGGACCCAGTAGAAGCATGGGTTTCTGAAGAAGTCAATCAGTCCATAAATGTATTATGATCGTGGACCAGCAGAATGAAAGATACATTAGCAGAGTGGTTACCCCCAAACTTTGATAGATGTTATTGTGAGAAATTGCATGTAATAAAACACTGACAGGTTCCTTTTTTGATTACCCTTCAGTTTCTTGGTCGGCAAAACTGGATCCATGCACAATATTCAAGAGACCCAAACTTATAACACTGTATTTACATTTGTTTTATGTTGCTCACTTACCGTACAGTTTTCACTGAAGTTAGATATGCATGCTAAACATGCAAGCCCAGGAGCTTGAATCCAACTCATCCAAAGAGTGGTTTGGTGATTTTATGCCTTCCATAAAGTTATATAAAGCTGTTGACTATAAACCACTCTACATCTAGGCCTTTGGGTATCTAGATGATGTCTGGAGTGCATGATTCAGTCCACTGCAAAATTTAAATACTACCTCGCAAACAGTGTGAAAATCATCTTATGGAGAAGTGCATCAAATTCCAGAATGCCCTGAAAAAGTCTTATGAAGGACCAAATATAATCAACCCGGATCAGATCTCTTGCATGTGATTCAGTGAATGGGACATGATTGGAGTTGTGTTAGATGTGTGTTTTTTTGTAGAAAAAGCCCAGCAGGAACTTATTAGCATAACAGGCCACACTCAACAGCAGAAACTCATTAGCCTATTAGGCCACACCCCCATGCCTTCGCTTGGCTTTTCGGGCCCTTGGCAGGCCGGGGGAGGAAACGGGGGGG